ATTCCCTGTATCTATGTATACTCTTTCTGACAGCTCTAATAATGAGAAAGTTTTTAGAAGTTACAAGTATCATTTTCCCATGTAGGAATGTAAATAGTTTAACCTTATTGGATAGCTTATGGTTTCTCTTTCCTTTTTTATGCTTCTCTTGAGTCTTGTATTTGAAAGTCAGATTTTTTATTCAGCTCTGGTCTTTTCATCAGGATTGCTTGAAAATCTTCTATTTCATTGAATTTTTCCCTCTGAAGGATTATACTCAGTTTTGTTGGCTGGTGATTCTTGGTTGTAATCCTAGCTCTTTTGCCCTTCAGAATATTACATATTCCAAATCCTCTGATTCTTTAATGTAGAAACTGCTAAATCTTGTGTTATTCTGACTGTGGCTCTGTGATATTTGAATTGTTTCTTTTTGGCTGCTTGTAATATTTTTTCCTTGACCTGGGAACTGTGAAATTTAGTTTTCATTTTGGGATCTCTTTCAGGAAGTGATTGGTGGATTCTTTCAGTTTCTATTTTCCCCTCTGGTTCTAGAATATCAGGACAGTTTTCCTTGATAATTTCTTGAAAGATGATGTTTAGCTTTTTTTTTTTTGGTGGGTTTTGCTGCTTCAGAATTTGTTTTGGGGCATTATTTAAAGTTGTTTGGAGGGGTTTTGGAGAGAGCTCAGGAGAGCCTTTTCTCTGACATCTTGGCTCTGCCCCATATTGTTCCCTCTTTAACCCATTTCAAATCCACACTGCCTTTTATAGAATTGTCCTCACTCTTGTGTGTTCTCAAAGAGGTAAGCAGCCAGTGACCAGGCTAGTTAATCCCTCTGCATATGAAATATGCACTATACCCTATGTATTACAATAGAATCTTAATCAGTTTTGTTGATGATGCTGCTGTTGTGTAGCTGATACCTGTAGCAGGTAAGAGTCATGGGCAGATTTGGGTTCCTTGGTGATGTGTTTGAGGCACAGGTATCACCAGCCCTGGGTCATTGTTGAGGGAAGTGATGTGGAAGTGTTCTTTATATTTTATTTTGACCATGGTAGAACTTTTAAGGAGAGGGCCACTTTAGAATGCTAAAATGAGGCTGTTCGCTTGTGGATAAGGAGGAGTAATGCTGCCAGAACACACAGAATGTAACTTGAAGCAAATGTGGCTGACATCTTGACTGCTAGAAGACAACATAGGCGTTTTGCAACAAGACAGTGTGCAGCAAACAGAGATGTAGTAGCTCAGTCTGAGCCAAACCATTTGCAACCTACCAAGCAGCGAAACAGAAACACAAACAACTTAAAACACTGTGTGGGGTATCCTGAGCTTCTTTGTCCCAAGATTTCTGAGTCCCTAGATGTCTCTTCTCACTCTTCTCTGACTTTGTGCAAGCCGAAAATCAATGCTGGCAATTAAAAGGTAGCTGCCTACACTTTTGGCTTCCTTCCTTCCTTAGCTTGCCCCTGTCTGAGGCTTATCCCTCTAATGACCATTACTGTCTAACCCCAGTTTATGCAGAGGAATATGTCCCTGAAAAACACGAAACAAGAGGCCTTGTCTGCCAGAGAATTGGGAGAGAAAGATTTGCAAACAAGATTAAAGTTTGTCGTATCATAAAAAGTATGCTACCCTAATGTAATTAATTGCTAATTTTAATAAAACCTTTGTTCACAAATTAGAGAATGCCAGGATGTTGACCCAGTTATATGGGTGGGACAAGGGTCTAGGGTTAGGGTGAGAGAATGCCAAAGATATACTTTACCTACCAAAATTTGTTCACAGTAACCTGCTGGCTGTTCTGCCTGCCACGAGTCTCTCCCCACTCCAGTCCATCCTTCACTTAGCTGCCAAAGTGATCTTCCAAAAGTGTAGGTCTGACCATGTCATCCTTCGGCTTCTCACTCAGAAAACTCCAATGACTCCCTATCACTTCCAGGATCAAATATAAAATCCCTGGCATTCAAAGCTCTTTATAATCGGCTCCCCTCCCCATCTATAGTCTTCTTTCACTTTATATGGCTCCACATACTCTGTCATCCAGGGACACTGGCCTCTTGGCTGTTCCTCACACAAGACAGTCCATTTTCCATGGTGGTTCTTCATGCCTAGAATTCTCTTCTTCATCTTCTCTACTTCTTAGCATTCTTCAGTTCCCAGCTAAAATCCTCCCTTCTACTGGATACCTTTCCCATTCCTCCTTAATGTCAGTATCTTTGTAATTATCTTTAATTTATCCTGTATATATTTCTCCCCCATTAGATTCTAAACTCCTTGAGATCAGGGACTGTCGTTTGCCTTTCTTTGTATCTCCAGCACTTTGTACAATACCCAGCAGACACATAATAAATGTTTATTGACTGACTTTGTTGTCCCCACCCCACCCCCGCCCCAGATCAGATGGGAAATTATTTTCTTCCTTTGGAAAATGGGGCTCAAGACTGGAGCAAGGCCATGTAAAATGAATGTTCACAAGTCAAAAGATGTGGGTTCGAATCTAGGCTCTGCCACTTATTAGCTACATGACCTTGAACAAATCATTTAACTTCTCTGAATCTTACTTTCCTTAACTGTAAAATGAAGGTGGTTGGTCTAGGTGGTTTCCAAGATCCCTTCCAGCTCTAATATTTTGTTGTTTTTGGTAATACATTTTTAATCTGTTTCCATCCCCCCTCTCACTGTTCATTTCACTGGAGGGCAACGGTCAGAGAGTCAACCTAAAAAAAATTAGGTATCTCTTGATAGCCTGTGTGGAAGCCCCTTTATGGGAAAATTCACAACAAAATATCAGTTGTTTAGTTTATATTTCTGAGCTGTCGGTGAGTAATTTTTGATTGCTTTCTGCTGACAAAAGTGCTGTGTAGTGGGCATCCTTGCTTCCAAACAGCTTGCTGCCTAGTTGGAGAAAGGACCTAAACCATACCCATAAAAAGATAATTTAACAATGGGGAAAGCATGTGGTGGGTGCCAAATTAATGTTGTAGGCCACAGTGCTAGAACTACAAGTATTTGCATGGATCAAGTAGAAAAAGGTTTTTTTCAAGCTGGGGATTAGTTAAGACTTTTTCCTCTCCTAAATTTAAGGGGGTGGGGCAGGGAGAGGAGTAGTCCAGCAAGGAAGTGACTCCTTTTGGATGTGTTCTTGAAGTACACAATGGCTAGACTGGTTCCGGCTCCTTCTTTCCCCAGTTCTCTGCTGCAAAGGATATAGGTCAATTATAGCGGGAAAGATAACATATAATAAGAAAGTGTGTGCATGTATTCCCTCTATGTCTCTGTCTGTCTCCGACTCCTTTCCCTCTCTCTGCCTCTCCCCATATATATGAGTATGTATACACCTGAGGGCATATGGCTGATTTAAGAATTGAAATTTCCCTTTAATTTGGCCATCCTGGATTGAAAGGGTTTGCTTCTGTGCACATACTGAAGCAATTTGCCTCTCTAGGTGCATTCTGTTTGTCCTATTCAGCACGCAGGAGGTTTTGGAATACATTTTGATATAGAGAGCCCTTAAAAATAATTGTGCAGATAGGGTTTTGGCCATCATATGTAAGCTGTGGAAGGAGAGAAAGAACAAAGATACATCAGGGTAAAGGTAGAAATAGGTGGAGCTTTCCATTCCCCTTCCTTCCTAAGGAGAGTTTGCATTAAGTAGAATAAGAAAAACCAAAAGCAGAATCATCTTCATTAGCTACTGAATGTTTCATTTCTTATCATTATTAGTCACATTTGAATAGAGTCATAACATTTTTTTTAGTAACCTCAATGTATTATTAAAAAAAAAGAGGAGAGACTAGAATTATGTGTTTAGAAGCACTATTAAATGTTTTTGAGATTTTCCTATTCAATCTAGAATTTTTACTCCTTAAGCACATTGAGTTTTAGTAAGGTGAAGAAATGCATATAGTAAATGTTATTTTAGTGCCTAATCAGGCTCTAGAATAGTCTGGTGTATATTTTGTATACATACCTTTTAGCATCTCCATTTCCCGTTGACAGCTTATAGCGTTAGGCAGGGATTCTGCTGCAATGAATGAGTGATCGGTGTGAAATGCTCAGCAGAGGTGGATTTCTGCTAAAGATAGTGAGCTCTTCTGAGCAGCCTTTCAGATCTGGGTATTTTAATTTCAGAGAGATGCTTGCCAATATGAAATTAAGATGGCGCTGCGGACCCACTATACTTGGAATTGTTTTTCTACGAGTGGGTATTGATCTACTGCTCCTCTCACTAGGTTCCCCTTTGCTTATATTTGTAAGATATTTGGCTAGGACACAGGTTGTGGTTATATATACTAGTCTGTATAGTGAAAAAAAAATTAACCAGAAAATAGATAAAACTAAAAACTCATACTATTCTATCTTAATATACAGCATTTGTTATATTGGACATTCTCTTCATCATTCAGCTCAGGCTGGGGAATAAAACCAAATACATTGGCTTTCCAATTTACCATGACTATGTTTAGTGTTTCAGCCCTGATGCAGAGGAAATATTTCTCAGAAATATATTTGCCTGGAATTTTTATAACAAAGTTTACATGCATATAAAAGCTCACTTAAAATATTTTTAATAAGTGAAATCTAAATGTTGGGTTCATACTTCTTGGTTATGTTCTTTATTTTAATAAAATAAGTAGCCAGCCAAGCCTAGTAAAGGGTATGAGCCCATGTCATGCCCTCCCTATCTTCTTGTTCCCTATTTCAACTTGAGTGACTGTGAAGGAGAGAAGCAGTGATGCTTTTCTTCATCCCCTGAAGTGTTTTTTCAGTATCCCCATTGTATATTTCTTTTCTTTTATTATATCTTTATAATCTTTATATATAATTTATTATATATTTAAATTTATTTTGCATATTATTTACATATTTATTACATATAAACATGTGTTTATATTTTATGTTATATATTTATTACATATAAATATGTTTATTATATATTATATATATTAGCTCAGGAACTGTTGTTATTGCTTCCTCTATGCAGCATTTAACAAATAATGAATCACTTGTAACTTCCCAGGTGTCCAATTAAAATGAATGCAATTCAGAGACTTTTGGCTTCCCATCTAAGGAAAAGAAAGATACCAGTAAGGTTTCAAAGCAGCGATCGGCCAACTGTGCCTCTTGGATCACGAATTTTAACAGACCCAGCCAAAGTTTATGAACACAACATGTGGTAAGTGGTTATTTAAGTTTGATGTTACTGGTGGTGTTAAAAATTAATTGTAGTCTTCTTGTTTTCATGTGATGGGAGCCAATGCCAGGGGAATGACTCACCAAATAACATCATTTAGAAACCAAGGCCAAAAGTTTTCAGTGAATGTGTGACCTTGGGCAAATCACTTCCTTTTTCTTTGCCTCAGTTTCATTATCTGTAAAATGGGGATAGTAATAGTACCTACCTCCCAGGGTTGCTGTAAGAATCAAATGAGATAATAATTGTAAAGTAACAGTGCTTTGCACATAGTAAGCATTGCATATATGTTATTATGTATTATTATGTGTTATTATTATGTATATATGTAATTATTATGAATATAAAGGCAAGGTTAGTTCCCGTGGATTCTGCCCTTTATAGGCAAGATTCCCTTACGGGCAAGATTAGTAAAGTAGAATTTTTCAAGTATCCTTAACAGCTTTAGGGGTATGAGGATTTATTCCTGTCATTCATATTCCTGTCTTGTTAGCGCTATACTTGCTTTCGCTCACTTACCTACCTAATGGACCATTAGCGTTCATCCCAGTTAGGCAGCCCCAGTGTTAACTCCTCCTTATCCTTCTTTCCTGTATCAGTGAATATTGATTAAACCCCTACTTTGTACAAAACATCATATTAGGACGGTAAGTGATTAAAAAAAAGATATTGTTTCTGCTGTTAGGAAACTTATGTTCTAATTCAGAACATATCGCATACATTTAAAATAGACGTCTGGCAATACAAAGCAGGAAATACCAAGTGCTGAAAGTAACAATAAATGCAGTGAATTCAAAGGATGACGTATATCTCTGGAAGGGACCTCAGAGGCCATCTAGTTCAACCCCGCCTCACTTTTCAGGTGAGAAAACTGAGACCTTAGGAGGCTAAGTGACTTGTCTAAAGTCTCCCAGATAATAGTGGAGGCTGGGTTTGAACCCATGTCCTCTTAATCCAAAGGCAGTGCTGTTTCTACTGCATCTTTCTGTTTCCCCACAGGAGGAAGAGAACTCCCATCTGTGGGAAGACTTGGATAGGTAGGGATAAGGGAAAAGGGTGTTCCAAGAAGGAGAAATGGAGTGAGCCAAAGCATGAAAATGAGAAAGCCTAAGGTATATTGGGCAAACGATGTGTGAGTCATTGTGACTGGATTAGAACATCTATACAGGGAAATAGAAAGAGGTCTAAGTTATTTGGGTCAGCTGTCAACCTTGTATACCAGGCTAAGATGTTTGAAGTTTATCTTATAGGCAACCAGGAGTTATTGAAGGTTTGTGAACAGGGAAATGACGTGGTGAAAACAGTATTTTAGGAAAATAAATCTGGTCCTGGTGTGCAGGATTGATGAGACCCTCAGTTTCATCTCTGTAAAATGGGGATAATCAGACCCCTACTACCTAGTTCTCAGAGTCATTTGACACTCAAGAGAGATAATGTGTGTCGAGATCTTTGCAGATTTTAAAATGTGATAGAAATATAAGTATTGGTAGAGGGAGATTCCTTCTCTAGGGAGTTTCCTACCTATGCCAGTGAAATTACAAGACCAGTCGCTATGCCTCTATGAATAACATATGAATCAGTTATTGTAACGTGGAGTGAATTCAGGAAGGGCAGTCAGTTTTTGGAAGACATCTGGTTTAAAGTATGGTGAGTTTGAATTGGCACAAGAACATTCTAAGTGTAGTCCACTAAGTATTGGGAAATTTGAAATTGAGAGTCAGGAAAGAGGTCAAGTTGGAAATCGATGTTTGAATATAAATAAATAGTTTTGCCTGGTACAGCTAATGTAGCCTCTACTTAAAACACCTAGGTATTTAAGGAATAGAGGCATCTAAAGGTCAGTGAATAGAGTACCTGACCTGTAGACAGGAAGACCTGATTCAAATTCAGCCCTAGACATTTACTGCTATGTGACTTTAGGTAAGTTACTTAACTTCTGTTTGCCTCAGTTTCCTCAACTGTAAAATGGAGATATTAGCACTTATCTCTCAGGATTGTACTGAAAATCAAATAAGATAATCATTGTTAAATGCTGAGCATAGTACCTGGCACATAGCAAGTGCTATATGTGTTATCTATTGTTTTTGATGTTGTTATTGTTAATGTTATCATTATTGGCCCATCTTCTTCTCCTTTAGAGCACATTTGAAGTTAATCTGAAAACTGTTTTGTGGTCAGTTTCTACGGGTATGTTTATGCACACTAGACATGTTTGACTCTCAGTCCAGGATTTTATCTGCAAGGTCTGGCTTTCTCTTTCATTTATCTTTTAGACATAAGGGTGCTATTTCTTTGTTTACTAATTTAGCTCTCCCATCTCCTTTTCTAAACCATTTCCTTCATATTTCTAGTGAAATATAATGCGGGCAGTATTTTTCCTCAATTCAATAACAGTGGCTTACTCTTTTAAATTTTTTTTTCAAAAAGTTCATTTTTATCACAAGCTTAATCATTAACAAATGCATGTTTTAATATACAAAGAAACAAAAGAGAGGCTTGCATGTGAAACTGTAAATGTTTTGGTACAGTTTTAAAAATATATATTAAACAAAGTTATTGTCCTGTATTTATCTCATTTTTTTTCTTGGATTTATCTAATTAAAAAATTTTATATTGATAACTTATTGTTACTTCACCTTCCTTTCCCATTTTATCCCTCCCCCTCTTACACCCAGTGAGCCATTCCTTATAATGAAGAACAAAAATAAAAAGGGGGGGGAAATGTCAGTGAAACTAGCTTCAGATCAGCCAAATCCGACATTATATGCAGTGAATAATTGCTTACATTACAGAGTACCTTGTAATCTGTCCCTTATTTAAAAAAAAAAAAGGAAAGAAAACTGTCCTTTTATTTATTTTCCAGTACCCAAAGGAAGACTTTTTTTCCTCTTCAGAGAACTTGAATAGATACCTCTGTATTAGAAAACAAGCGAATAAGCCTACTATTAATGATATTAAATGATCACTTAGTATCCTTATTGGATACTGACAGAAAAAATATGGCCATTTTATGACATTTTGGAGGCACAGCCCAAAGCTTTGTTCCGCTTAAGGAACTTATGCAGTTACTTCTAATGATTCATCATTCCACGACTGCGCTTGTATTAAGAAAGTACATTATGTGACAGCGTTTTAGAGGGAGGCCAGTGGGGGCCTGCTTTGCTGCTACAGTATAGTTTTCCTTTGTGTGTGTGTGCCAGTTTTAAATATTAATCTACCACTTGTGTTAGGAGGCCATTCTGGAATCTAAATAAAGATCAGATGTCAGGTTTTTTTCCCTGGTCTAGAGTGGTGATTGAATTGAAATACCATGTGTGACAGAGAAGAAAAAGAAATTATATACCAACTAAAGAGGTTATATGCAAGAATTATATAGTAGAATATTTCTTATATAAATTAACTGAACTAAATATTTAGCATCTGAAACAAAAGGTACTGTGTTATATGCAGTGGCAGATAGAAAGATAAATAAGACATGGTCACTGCCAGTAAGACATTGGAAAAGTGAGACATATACATGAAAAAAATAACTACTATATAAGACACTATACAAGAGCCCAGTCAGTGGTATTGTAGAGGACAGACGTCAGTGTAGGTGGAAATAGCAGTAAGACTCACAGAGGAAGTGGAATTTAAGCCTGGCCTTGAAGAATGACAGAATTAGAAAGTACAAGGTTTGTTCTTGGGGGACAGAGTGAATAAACCAGCTTGGCTGGAGCAGAGAGTTCATCTCATGGAGATGTATAGATGGAACTTGGAAAGATAGATTATGAAGAACCTTGTATGTCCTCTGATTATGAAGGACCTTGAATGTCAGCCTAACACGATACTTGGACTTCATCTGGTACCGGCAGTGGAAATCCATGGACATTTTACAAGGCTAAGGGATGATTTTTTGAAAGCAGTGTTTTAGTAAAATTAATATGAAAAGATTTAGTACCATACCAATCAAACTGCCAAGAGGTTCCTTTGTAGAACTAGAGAAATAATCACAGAACACATTAGGTAAAAAAAAGATCCAAAATCTCAGGGGAAACAATTTTTTTTTAGATGTAAGAATGATGGAGAATCTAGAATTACCAGACCTCATATATTATAAAACAGCAATCATGAAACTATTTGGTACTGGTTAAAAAAATTGAAAAGTTGATCATTGGAACAGATGGGTAAACAAGGTCAAGAAGCAGCCAAACACAGTAACCTCATGTTCCATAAAGCCAGGAATACAGAACTCCCAGGGCAGAGATTCTCTATTGATAAAAGGTGCTAGGGAAACTGGAAAACTGTTTGCAGAAATTAGATTTTGTCTGATACCGTATGCCAAGAGATAAGGCCCAAAGGGATAAGCATTGTAAATTCTTATTTGTTATGAAAGATCATCTTATTTAAAAATTAGAGGTACCATTAGAGGAAGGAGGTACCATTCAGATTAATGTTGGGGGATAGGGTTGATAATAAAATATAAAATAGATAATTTTATTGTATAAAATTATGTTTTTGCATAAGCAAAATCAGTAAGGCTAGTTGGGGAAAAAAATGTTTCACATTTCATATCACTTATCTCTGATAAAGATCAGATAGCCAAGATACATACAGATTTTATTCAAATATATAAGACCCAGAGCCATTTCCAATATAAGCACATAGTTTTTAAGAGAAGTGTAAGCTATGAAAAACTACATGAAAGAATGTTCCAAATCAATAATAATAGGGAGAAATGCAAATTGAAACAACAGGGAATTGCATTTGATAGTGGTAAAAGTGAAGTTACATGCTTATTCTCTTTTTTCTTTCTCTCTCTTTTTTTTTTTTGCGAGGCAATTGGTGTCAAGTGACTTGCCCAGGGTCACACAGCTAGTAAGTGTCATGTTCCTGAGGTCACATTTGAACTCAGGTCTTCCTGATTCCAAGGCTGGAGCTGTATCCACTCCGCCACCTAGCTGCCCTGACATGCTTATTCTCCAGGGCCCTTGAGTACCTAG